GTTTGTTTTTAGATTAAAAGGTCTTGTAATATTGGTTTCTCTATAGACTTGATTCATGAATTGATTTATTTCTATTATCTTTAGTCTACAGTTTAGTATCATGTGTTCTGCAGATCCTAACTCACCACATTCACAAAGATTGCTTACGGAAAAGATGATCAGACTATTAAAAATGACCTTAATAAAGACCGACAATAAAGTAAGGATATAAAGACGCCTATCAGGAAAATTTGAAGCCAAAAGGGAACTAAAGTAGAAGGATTCGCTGTATTTCTTCTTCTTCTTCAATTCAATTCATGCCAGAAATCATTCTGGCAATTATAATTTTGTTGGTTACGCGCCTGAATAGTTCAATTGAACTGCATCCAAACCATTCAAGGAGATTGCGTAGCCACGAGATTTTACGCCTTCCTACGCTTCTTCTACCTTTGATTTTACCTGTCATTATATTCCTTAGTTGTTCGTATTTTTCACCTCTCATGATGTGCCCCAAGTATTCCAATTTCCTGATCTTTATGGAATTTAAAACTTAGCATTGTTTTCCTAGTTGTTCGAGAACTTGTTCGTTTGTTTTGCGATCCATCCATGATATTTTCAAAATACGACTTTTTTGGGAAGCAGTATGAATGTTGATTGGAGCCATTCTTTAGGTATTATACCTGTTCTATAAATGGTATTGAATAGATCCAAAAGAAGATCAATAGATTCAGTATTCACAATTTTAAGTAATTCAATAGGAACTTCATCAGGCCCGGGAGATTTACCACCTTTAGCTTGTTTCATTGCATATTCAATTTCTTCTTGTATAATGTCCGCTGTATTAATTCTTGCTGGAGGCAATAATGAGAGAGAGTGGAATACGAACGAAAGGTATGATTTATGACAACAGAAGCCAGGTCCTGGCCTTTGCGGATGATGTAGTGTTATTGACAAGAACTAAAGGGGAACTGCTGAGGATTTTCTAACTCTTTGAAATGAGGCTAAACAGTATGGTCTGATTATTATTGAGCAAAAAACAAGATTTATGAAAATGGGGCAGACCACATATGAAGAAGGCACACAACTGAAGACTACTCATCACATCATCATCATCACACAGCCAAATTTGTCCACTGTCGAACATAGGCCTCCTCAAGATGTCTCCACTCTTCTCTGTCCTGTGCAGCTGCGATCCAGTTTGTCACTATTCTTTTAATGTCGTCCGTCCATCTGGTAGGTGGTCTTCCACGATTTCGCTTGTCTGCCCTTGGCCGCCATTCTAAAATCTTCTTTGTCCATCTGTTGTCTCTCTGTCTTGCGACGTGTCCTGACCATTTCCACTTCAACTTCGTAATCCGTTTTATGACGTCTTCCACTCCAGTTCTTCGCCGTATCTCATCATTTCGTATTCGGTCTCTCAAAGTTACGCCAAGCATAGATCTTTCCATTTTTCGTTGTGCTACTTGTAACTTTTTTATTGATGCTTTAGTCAATGTCAGTGTTTCAGCTCCATAAGTGAGCACCGGAAGTACGCACTGGTTAAATGCTTTTCTCTTTAGCTTTATTGGGATGTTTTCCTTAAACACGTCTTTTAGCTTGCCATAGGCTGCCCATCCTAAAGCTATTCTTCTAGATAATTCGCATGTTTGGTTGTCTCTACTTATTTGTATTTCGTGGCCCAGATATATGTATTTGTCAACCGTTTCAATATGCCAGTTTTCTAGTTTCAATGGTCCACTAGGTACTAAGTTGGTCATCATTTTAGTTTTCGCAAAGTTTATTTCCAGCCCTACTTTTTGGGAGACTCGTTGTAAATCTTGTAGCATTTCGTTGGCCTCCTTTAAGTCGTCGGTTATTAGAACTATGTCATCTGCAAATCGTAGGTGGTTCAGCCTTTCGCCATCGACACTCAAACCTCTGTTTTCCCATTCTAACATCTGGAATGCATGCTGCATTACGGCATTGAATAGTTTTGGTGACATGTTGTCTCCTTGTCTAACTCCCTTTTTAGTTTTATTTTTTGAGTAGGGGTGTGGAGGTTTATTGCTGTTGTGGCATTTGCATATATATGTTGAATAATGCTGGTATATCGGTAGTCGATTCTACAATCTCTCAAAGCTCTTAAGATAGCTACCATCTCGATAGTGTCAAAGGCTTTTTTATAGTCAACAAATACTAGAACTAGTGGCCGGTTGTACTCTATAGTTTTTTCAATTAGGGCCTTTAGACAAGTTAGATGGTCATTTGTACCATACCCAGGGCGGAAACCTGCCTGTTCTCTTGGTTGGCATGTTTCTAGTTTGTTCTCAATTCTGGCAGTGATAATTCGAGCAAATAATTTATACAGGTGACTTAGAAGACTGATTGGCCTATAGTTTTCGAGGTCTGTTTGATCTCCTTTCTTATGCATGAGGAGCGTTATAGAATTATTCCATTCAGCTGGTATTGCTTGGTTTTCTAAGCATATATTGAAGAGCTGCTTGATTGTCCTGATGAGAGCAGAGCCTCCGATTTTTAGCGCATCCGCCACTACTCCATCTTCTCCTGGTGCTTTGTTTTTTTTTCATTTTCTTTAGAGCATGGTAAATTTCAGCCGTTGATATGTCGGGAATATCTTCTGAACCTTGATTCATAATTTTTTGTTCTGTATGTTCTGTCGGGTTTAAGTCCAATTTATTTGTGTATAGTGTTTTATAGAAGTCTTCTACTATCTCTAGCATTTCGTCTCTGTTGGACGTTAGTTTGCCATTCTTTCCCTTAAGTCTGATGATTTCTTTTCTGCTGTTCGTCAATTTCCTTCTTAATATCTTCATGCTCTTGTTGTGCTCGATTGTCTGCGAGATTTTCTCATTTTTATATGCCCTTATGTCCTTTCTAATTGCTTTTGAGACCTCTTTGTTGATTTTATTTATGCTTTGTTGTTCTATACTCTTATCTTTTAGCATTTCTCTTCTTTCTTCCATTTTAAGTTTGGTGTTAGCAGTGATTCTCTCCTCTCTCTTGTTACCTGTACAACATTTTCTTTGAGCTTCTGCTATGGTATTAGTAATTACTTTATTTAGCTGATTTATATCATTTGTGGGGGGCCTGTTTTGTAGACGTACCGTTATTTGATCTGCAAACTCTGTTTCATTTTTTGGTTGTGACCATGCTTTCAATTTTTTCTTTCTTATTAGTTTATTTCTCTCTTTATCGATGTTAATTTCTATTCTAGCGCGAACCATTCTGTGATCACTTCCTGTTGTGAAGCTGTTGAGTACAGTGACATCTTTAACTATAAATTTTTTATCTGTTATTATATAGTCAATTTCATTTTGCGTTCTCCCGTCCGGGCTTCTCCATGTCCACCTTCTATGTTGTTTTTTGTAAAAGAAGCTATTCATTTGATATAATTTGTTCTGAAGGAGATAGTTTAATAAAGTTTGTCCGCGTTCATTTCTTCCATCGCTGCCGAAGTTTCCAAGTACAAATTCTGATGGATCGGATTTCATGCCAATTTTTGCGTTCATATCACCACATATGATTGTAAAATGGGTGTGATTTTCTTTCAGTGCTTGTGTTATTTCGTCATAGAAAATGTCTATTTCCTCTTCGCTATGGTCTGTGGTTGGCGCATAAGCCTGTATTATTTTGATGTTATATCTGTCGTTCAAGTTTAGAATGACGTGTATTACTCTCGTGGATATACCATGTATTGTATGGATTCTATTGTACAGCTGTTTATTTGAAGAATACTACAAACAACAAAAGTAAAGAGTATTGGTTAAAAATTGTGACGGACTTTGAGTATCTAGAAGTATAAGTAAAGGGGAAGAAAGCCAAGAAATTGAGAAACGGATTTTGAGAGGAAGGAAGACGGTCGGAGCTCTACACAAACTACTAACTTTATTCAACAAACTACTACTCTATTATAAGGGTCTATATCGAACAATGAACCAGAAGAGATGATCTGCCTTAACCAGCCCTTTCATCTTGATGTTTGGAGTGACAGAGGAGAGCTTTTTAGTTGGACATCGACCATCTCGGAGTGCTGTTGGGACGAAGTGTCAAAGGTCTGACTTCTTCGGGCATCTCGTCCTGGCACAACACTACCTAGGTGACTCACAGGTGACTGTATGCAGATTTTCCTTCCTTTCTTTAAAGATGTAAAAAAAGGTGAAACACAAGTAGATATCAACTTTGTTTTTTTTTGTTGAATACCTTGTATATTTTATTTTTATATTCTGTATAGAATTATCGATATATTTTAAATAAGATGCTATATCTCGAAATTTTTTTTGAAGTTTAAATTATGAACAAGTAATTGGACTTCGTAAGTAATCAGTTTTTACCCAACGTAAACGGAAGTAGATCCGGAAGTCGATATTTGAACTCTTCGTGTAACTGTGCGTCGATTGATATACGATTTCACTAATTTTGTCATTTTTTCCAAACTTCCGGCATAACTTTTTAACCGGAAGTGATATAAAAACCGGAAGTATATATTTGTTCTTGCCTTGCTAAGGCGCGTCAAATAATATATCGTTGTGCTATTTCGGTGACTTTAAAATAGTACTTCCGGTTGCAACTCCCTACCCGGAAGTCCGAGGTCAAATTTCTCACCTTTATCACCGCCATCTTTGGTGTATAAGCTCTCATTTGACACCTCATTTGTCATTATATCTATTCTAACAACGGAGGAGTTATGTACACGGACAGACAGATGGACGGACAGACGTAAATGAATAGTTTAAGGTCTTCACCATTTTTTTTGTGTTGTAAAAAGAGTGAAAATTCAGAATGTCTTGTCAATGTCTTTATATCATTATATTTTGTAGTATACATTGCAAAAAAGGACCGTACCTTATCGAAAAACAAAACAAATTATCTTTTGCAAAATTGACTTGACGTAGCACTCGTTATCGAACGATTTTTCTGAATTGGAATAAGGACAATAACAATATTATCAAAAATTTATGATGAGAATAATATCAAAATTTCGTAAGAAAATTAAATGTTGTTTTGATTTATCTCTGTATCTGGGGAAGTTGTGAATGAAGGAAGATATAAAGAAAGAGCGGCGCTATCGTTACAGTTAGTTCACAACAGTGCTCACTGAAGAGAAGTTATTAAGAATATTTCAAGTTTATTTAAAAGATTTTCCAAGATGATGGGGCCAATGTCTCAACCCACTAACATTATAAATCATAATGAGAAGAAAAACGTGGAGATGCCGATGGGAAGTCCACCTGATATAGTAAGTTTATTAATTTGTAATACTTACAAATAATTATTTTATATTTTTGAGTTTGATATTCACAAAAAAAAATTTTTTTGATATCAAAAGTTTGATTTTTTTGTATTGAAATCTTAATTGATGTTTGCTATTTATTTTGTACAATTTTGTTAAAATATCTACATTTTTCCATTTCCATTCGTAAACTAGAAACATTCTTAAGTTTGTTCTTCTTTCTTCATGTAACATATTCTATTTGTTTTAATATACATACAGTATAATTAGCATTCTAGCATTTAAACTCCATCAACCGTTGTATAATTGTTTCCTTTATCTCTAACTTGCCTTTACATCTAACTTGTCTTTGATGATCATCAAAGTATCATCTTCAAATTTTCTAACAGTAAGTTAAATTCGTGATGTATTTTTTATAACTTGTCTTTGCTTTGTGCCATTATTCTTCCTTTGCATTTACTTTTTCTATAATTTAAATAGTTGTTCTTTATGTGACCTCTTTGTGGGTCATGTAGACCTAATTTCGACACTTTCTACACTGCGACCTAGACATGTTTTTGTATATGCCCTACATCTCTGTTTAGTTCAGCAGGTCTACGTTTGTAAGAAATGGGAATTCGTTTAGGAGAGATATTTATTTCTGGTCTGGTTGTAAAAAGCTCTCCCAAGTAACTGGTGGCATTTAAAGAATAATTGCTCAATATTTGTAGATATGTTTGTCCATTTCCTCTTTATTTCTGTAGGATCTAAATGTTGCTCTGTTTACTTTGCCCATCGTTCATTTGATGCTGTTATTTTGATACATTATTTCTAAGGTTTAGTTATGCTTAGTGGTACGTTTTTTATATATAATAAGTAAATGACTTTCTACATTTTAATATTGTCGGCTTATTGTATCCCAGAGCTTTTTATTGCCTAGTTTTCAGTACATAATCTTCCAGATTAGTAAATTAATCCACCATAGTTTTTGGGCCTCCTCTTTCTTCTTTTATAAAGAAATGTATTGCGATGCTTGGTTTTGTAATAGTAGTTCATACTGGCTTAGTAGTAGCACCTACTTTAAGAACTTATTTGATATGCCATTCCCTTCAGGTGATTTTCTATTCTACAATTTTTTAGTACTTCTGCTACGACTTTTTGTTCGTCAGTAGGTCATTTCTGGTGTAGGTGGCTCATTTTTCGTCTAGCACTTTCTTCAGTTCGGGTCTGGTAGGGTAATGTTTTTGGTTTTCGGATAGGCTTTAGCATTTGCCGGTCGTGCTCATCTCAGAGGACTAGCAACCAAAACCGAGCATAGAATATTTTAAGGTTCCTCCTCTCAATATGCAATCACTGCATTTTCCACTTGCTCATAGTTAACACTTGGATGATATGACTAGGGTTTTAGAGAACAAGTCTGATAGGTGACCATTCCATTATTGCAATATGAATAACATGCGATTAGTCAATACCCACCACGTGATAAAAAAACGCATCAAGTATTCCTCAGCCTGATTAATTTTTTTATTTGAAACAACATTTAATGAACTCTAAAATCACAAAAATAACGAAAAATTTACAATGCAGGATTTGAAAAACGTGGTGTATTATTTTTCCAGCAGTTTGCAGATCGTAATCTAATATAACTGCATGAATATGCATTCTTTTTTGTTTATTTTAATGTTTTTTAATTTTAACACGGACTAGTTCTCATATAGTGACTACGTGACTCTTCGTTAGCTATTGTTTATGTTTTTAGTGATAGCATTATCAATCAATTTCCCAAGTTTCAACAATTTAGTTCATAAAAATATCGGATAAGTTGTTTAAAATCCATTACTAACTACATCTTGCTTGTTTTCAGTTAGTAATCTCGATATTAAAAACAGGAAATGTTTCTTTCTCTTTTTGTAATGCAACATTTCTGCTTTTATGGTTCAGTTCAACGATAGCTTCTTGGGTTAGGACAGTTGTCGTTCAAGGATATCCACTTTTCGATTGATTACTTCGTGAATATAAAAAAATGTTTTATAATTATACAAACGATCATTAAAAAAATCATAATGATTGCTTCACTCCTTAGCTTTTATTTATATTTTAATTCTTATAATAGGCAGAGCATAAACCGACTCATGGCAAATTTCTCTCTGTTCTGGACTTAATAAATTAATTCATTTCCTCTTGTGTGGGTCAATAAATCATTCAATCAGGTTCAATCTTGCATTCTAATATTACCTGGAGCTGCTCAAATTCCCTGTGGCTGAGACTGATAGATTGGGGTTACAGAGAATTTTACGCATATTAATGAAACCAGATCTTGCTATTTCTCTTGCTTTATTCTCTAGATCTTGGTATTTTAGACGCTTTCTGTGAGCTCCTTTGAGTATGAACCCTCTGGTATATTTTCTGTTATCGGTTGTGTTGCAGGATTTCCCTAATATTTCTAAGTTACTTCTGGGTGGACTAGTTGTAAAATTTGAAAATTCTGCTCACAGTCTCGGGTTCAGAGAAAGTTTGTGAAGATCCATGTTGTATTGTCATATTGTTAACCTAATAATCAATACATATCATTTCTATTCAATAAAACCTCATACTCTCTATATATAGCAGTGCATAGTATCATTTCCTTGATGTGTGCCTAAAGGTAGAGTGTCGTTTAAATAGGTCTAACTGGTAAGCAGGTTTTGTATGTTTTCAATAAATTGATGTGTAAAGAGGCACTTCTTCTCATGGTGCCGTCTCCTTTCGAAGGTTGGCGATCCAAATGGCAATTGTGGTTTTGGAAACTGCTGCACGAACGATTACTGCGGATGAGCGGTTGAACCATTTCCTCAGGTCTTTCAGCCATGAGTTCTGGCGTCTTCCTACTAATCTTTTGCCCTGTACTTTTCCTTCCAGTATAACTTGAAGTAATTCATATTTTTCGCCTCTCAACACATGACCCAAGTATTGAATTTTCCTTTCTTTGATTATTCTTAGTAATTCTTTTTGTTTACACATTCGACGAAGTACCTCAACATTAGTAACTCTTTGTACCCATGGAATTCTCAAAATTCGTCTCAAATATATACATCACAGAAGAGGCACACACAAGAAGAATATGACGACGATTTGTTATTGTATTATTGCTTTAGGAGAAATCCTACACAACCATTATACTTAACTAGACTGAAAGAAGGCTCTTATAAAACATTCTCAAAAGATTTTATTCCCTTTTTGGGCGATATCCTTCCAAAAATTTTCTTTGAGTTGTGAATTTTTATAATTCGTATTTTTGCAGTCGAATAAACAGGGATATTTAGTCACTAGATCAATAAAATACTTTTTTTATTTGTCAATACTTCCATGTCGTCCAACTTCGCGACGGCACTAACGACAGTACTGTGTTTGTTTAAGTGAGTCGTCAGCCATCGGACAACAGCATCTGACGTTCTCTGGGTTGCAGTTGTAGTCAGATCTCGGATTCAGTCTCATACAAATTAACACTGCAAGGTAATCTGCCGCGACGGCAACTGCAATTGCCGTTTGCAGTCATTATCGGAATCGTACCTTGACACAGTCAAATTCATATTAGTACCCTTTTAGACGAAGCAATTGGTGTCCGATATCCATCTGCGCCATCAGTGGTTCGTTAACTGTGCAAACAAATTTTGATATTACGCTTTCCCATGCATTTCTTTTAGCAATTTTATCAATATATTATTCTAATTTATGGCCCCAAAGAACTAGTTCCTATTCAACAGCAAATTATAAAAAAGACACCAGTAGTGGCTTGTGTGAACGTTTCGATTCAAAACAATACTCTGCTAAAAAAACGGTATCCAGTAGTCGGCCCGGTGGCGAAGGTGAGACATTCATCGGAAGTTGCTGAGCCATTAAAAACAGTCAGACACTCAAAGTTGCTCCTTTGCAATCGTTCATTTAAAACAATGCTTTGCTGCTGGTATCGGAAACCAGTCGCTTCGTCTGAAATGGTACTTAGCAATCCTCCGTTATCTTATGTGACTTCAAGAAGATTTCTTTTCTTCTTCTTCTACGTCATTACAGCCGAAATTGAGCCTTGGCCTCCTTTATCCTGGGACTTCTAAAACGGTTTGTGCGTCGCTGTTTACTGTGTCTTCCCAGCGTTTTCTTGGCTTTCCAGCCGGTCTCTTCCCTGCATTCTAGCATTCAGTGCTCTTTTTGGTAGCCTATCCTCTTCCATTCTTATCACATGTCCGACCCATTGCAATTTTTGTATTCTAAGGAAGTCTGACATTGGTGCTTTCTTATAAAGTTTTCCCTCACAGGTCCTAGTATTCTCCTCAGTACTTTCCTTTGGAAAGTTTTTGGATGTTTCTTTCAGGACCCATGCTTTACTGCCATTGGTCGAATTAAGGTTTTATAGATTCTCATCTTTGTATTTCGGTGGACATTTTTAGACCGAAATATATGGGAGAGGGCAAAATAAGCTCTGTTTGCCTGCGTTATTCTCTTCCATATTTCTCCATCTTCTGATCCGTCGACATATATTTCTACTCCCAGGTATGTAAACTTTCCAACCGTTTCAATGTCATCTTCATGTATAATGTTTTGTAGGACTATATTTCTTTTCGTCTGTATCATTATTGTTGTTTTTTTCTGTGTTAATTTCCAGACCTAGCATTTTTGTTTGCGTTTTTAACTCTGCTTATATTTCTGTAATGCAGCATGCATTCCAGATGTTAGAATGGGAAAACAGAGGTTTGAGTGTCGATGGCGAAAGGCTGAACCACCTACGATTTGCAGATGACATAGTTCTAATAACCGACGACTTAAAGGAGGCCAACGAAATGCTACAAGATTTACAACGAGTCTCTCAAAAAGTAGGGCTGGAAATAAACTTTGCGAAAACTAAAATGATGACCAACTTAGTACCTAGTGGACCATTGAAACTAGAAAACTGGCATATTGAAACGGTTGACAAATACATATATCTGGGCCACGAAATACAAATAAGTAGAGACAACCAAACATGCGAATTATCTAGAAGAATAGCTTTAGGATGG